GTGATGAGGATGCTTCGGACTGATGGAGTATCCTGTATGGGGCTTCTCCTCTCTCTCTCTCTCTCTCTCTTCCGAAAGCACCATAGCAGTGGGCAGGAACACCAACTTCCGGGGGGTCCCCGGCGCGGGCGTCTCATGTACTTTTTTCCGGCTGGTGGGTGGGGTGGGAGGCAGACGCTGGGAGGCGTATGGCGGGAGAAGGGGGGGGGGCGGGGGGCGGGGCGGGTGGGGGGGGTGCGGATCGGGAAAACGGGGGGGCCGGGGTGTGGGGAGGACGGAAACTGACACCCCTTCACGCGCAGTGCGGCGGTGGGCGGCCAGCGGCGATACGAGGGGGAGCCCCCCCCCCCCCTGATGGCGGCGCGCGCCAAGGGGGTGGGGGGGATGATGGCCCTGGTTTCCACCACCACCACCATAAGTTGGAGGGGGAGGGGGTCGTCCTCCTCCACCACCTCCTTCTCCTCCTCGTCCTCCTCCTCGTCCTCTACCTCCTTCCCCCCTCCAGCTTATGGTGGTGGTGGTGGTGGAAAACAGGCCCATCAGGGGAGGCTCCTCAGAAGGAGACTGCTTCTGAGAAGGCGCCGGCCTCGCATCTACAGACAAGGAGGGCCGCGCCTTCTAGGAAGCAGGGATGCTCCCAAGAAGGACCCCCCCCTCCTCCCACCGTCGGGGCAGATTGGAGAGGACACGCGAGAGGACTCAAGACCCTTCCGAGGTCCACCTCGTCATATGAACGTAGAAGGTAGGAGTCTCGAAAGAAAACACTCCAGGGTCCCCTTGATTGGGCAGGGTTCTCGAAAGAAAGGAGCTCGACCACAAGAAACCTTCCACGAGAAACTCAACCCAAAAACCCCAGGACGTCCATGGATTTTTGGTGTGGGAATGTCACGCTTTGCATGCAGAACCATCGAAGCCCAAGAAACCCAGGGCACCCTGGAGGCAAGCAGGGTGTTTATTGTCATGGGTTTCCACTGTACCATGAGCTGGACAGAGTCGACCTGCTAACCAAGCCCGACTGCACCCCCCTCTCGGCCTATGTTGCTCCCATCGTACTTAAGGACCACATCCCTGAAATAATTCCGAGCACCTGGAGAAGTGTCGAAATTGTGTCGATACAGTGTCAAACGAGTGTTTCCCAGGGCCCGGCACTTGAAAACCCCAAAGTTTCGGTTCGTTTTTGGTTTGCTCGAAATTCTTCCTGGTGGTCCAAGCTAAAGTAGGTAGGAACATCATAACCCTCGGCGGGAGGCCGACCCCCACTGGCGCGAGAAGCTCGCTGGGGGGCGGCGCCCGAGGCGCCGCCAGGGGGGTCCAGCGCCGCCCTCCGACCGTTCGGATGTCCAGCTCCAGCATCGACCTCGGGACCCGCGCCGTGCTTTTGGATTCCTGTCCAGCGGCCGGCCTCGGGGGATCCGCGCCGACCTCCGAAGGCTCAGTGTTATGAGGCAGGCTGTCTTTCGATGATGGCTTCAGCAGTGGCTCCACGATGGCCCAGAACGACTCCTCGACGGCTCCACGGGGGCCCCAGGAAGCGGCCAAGAAAGGAAGTTCCGAACCACCTGGAGGGCGGAGCCTGTGCCCACCGAGACTGAACTTAGGTCGGGCATGTGCTCCTACGAGAACAAAAATGAAAACAGCCACCAACAATTGTTCAAAACATAAAAAATATGATAGTAGAACAAACCGTCCCCGGACGAATTGTTCTACGATTCTTGAGCACTCCTCCTGTAGAGGGACATGCCCGACTTAAAGACTGAACCCAACGGTCCTGGCATACATTTGCCCTCCCTCGACCCGGTGAGGGCGCCCAGGCCCGGGCTAATCGGTGGGCCATCGTAGCCCCCATGATCATCGTGGCTGTGTCGGGCTGCTCATCGGCGGCGAGCGAGGGGGGGAAAACGAGAAGGGGAAGGCCTGCTCAGCAGAAGGTGGGACTTCTCAGAAGCCCTCGCGCCTTCCGAGAAGTTTGCCGAGTCTTCGGGGAAGGCTTAGAAAACTTCTCAGAAGGCCGGGGGACTTCCGAGCCTTCTGAGAAGGCCCGCCACTTCTCACCTCCCCTCCAGGCTCGCCGCCGACCTCAGGGCCTTCTGCCGCAAGGGTGTCATTCGCGTGATGGTCAGAACTTTCTCGACCCTCGGGGGACTGGCCCAGGGGGCGACTCATCGAGCTTGAACCGGCGACATATCCGGTAACACATCGCCGATGGATCGGCGATAGGCCCCCGATCGCGCACTCCGCGCATTGATGGGCGGGGCGGGCTTTCAGGCCCCCATCGGCGATGAGTGGACGACTGAGGGTCGGTGCGTCCCACCTGCGCTGGTCCCCCACGGCTTCCGGGCCATGCTTCGGGTCTCTGGCGGCTGTTCGGGAGGATCCGGGCACCCCCCGAAACGCTCTCGGCGAGGCGCTGCTGCGCGATCCACGGCTGTCAACCGAGGACCAGCGAGACCGCCCGAAAACCTCAAGCCTCGAAAACCGGGGGCCTCAAATCTTCCCCTCCCTGACGTTGCCCCTGCAACGATCCGGTCCTCCCTTAGCTGCCCACGTACGGAACACGCAACCCGTAGCGTGCCGGCACGGAGCTCAACGCGTAGACTGAACACGTAGGTCTGGCGCGGCACGTTCCCAAAAAGGGGGGCCAACACGTGCCAAACCAACACGCAACGTGTTACCAGGGAAATTCGAACACGGTATGTATTGCGCTCCAGCACGGGCGTATCATGTCGGGAACGGCGAGGATGTCAGGTACCATCACATACTTCAACGGCTGCTGGGGCGCTTCAGGTCGAGCTGCTGGGGCCTCCTGTCGGACTGAGGGGGCCTCGTGTCCTGGCGCAACCAGCCGTGCGCAACGAATCCTTCAGTCAGCCTGCGATCAGGGCAGCTGAGGCTCCTCCAGAGGCCTCCCAAATGGGATCCGAAAAAACTGGGGTCAGAGGATCGCTCCGCATCGACGATACATCGGCGACGTGGGCAGTGTCTCGGCGACGTCCGCGTGGAGAAGATCGGGATGCATCGCCGATGCACCGCCGATGTGGCACGATCCACCGACCCCATTTACTCGGACCCCATCTGGAGGGGCTAGATCTGCAAGCCCAAAATCGAATCGAATGGGCGATCGAAATGGCGATCGAAATGAGTCGGATCGGTGGAAATCGGCAGTCGGAATCCAAATCGGGACCCGGAATCGAATCGAATCGGACTCGGAAGCCATCGAATCGAACGGAACCAAATCGGAGGAGTCGAAATGAGCCCTGCACATCCTGGACCCTCGGGCTGGCCGTGAGCTTAAAAACATAACATGGAAGAAACGGGTCCTGAGGGAAGCGGGTCCTGGACCCCTCAGGACGAGCCTTTCATCCTGAGCCGGTTCCTCTGACTGTTCCGGTGCCCGTGGAGGGCCCGTGGAAAGGAGCCCGAAAACGGCGAAAAACCTGAGCACCCGTTTCCTTCACGACCCGCTTCCCCCATGGCGACTAAGGCTCATCGGGGATGTACTGACCCAGGCCAATCCCAACCAGGTTCAGTCGGGCGTTGCAAGACCCTGCAAGGTGCTGCGCCCAGGCCCGGGTCAAGGCGACCCTGGCTCTGCAGCATCCTGCAAGCTCCAGCGCTCTGACCGAACCACGTTTGCACTGACCCCCGTCCCTAGGAGGCCTCCTACATGGGGTCCGACTCGGCGATGCATCGGCGACGTCAGCTATGTACCCACGGCATTGGCGTGGAGAAACTCTGGCTCCTCTTCGAGCCGCATCGGTGATGCATCGGCGATGCCTCGGCGATGCATTGGCGATGCGGCGCGATCCTCCGACCCCATTTGGAAGGAGAGGACGAGGAGGAGGAGGAGGAGGAGAAGGAGGAGGAGGAGGATGAGGGAGGACCAGTGGAAACCCAAGAGTTCCCTCCAAGTTCCCTCTTCATAGGCATTTCCATTCAGGGAACTGCCATTTTGGAAGACAACAGGTTGAAGATCGTGAAGCGTGCCAAAACATTGTTCTCGCGATCTCAAGGCCACGTAACAATCTGGCTGCTGCGACTTGACGATCCAGAATCGCGCAAGAACGCCATTAAGGGAACTTCAACACAACGAATCAACATACCTGTTGCTCCCGCATTGTCCCGAATCCTTCCAAAACACCGTTTCTGGTATGTTGATCATGGGAATATGCAAAACTCTTGCATCTGTTTAAAACGAATGTGCGCGGCTCTAACACGAGAACCACAATTTGAAAACCACCGAGCGGCGCTAAGGCGAGAACCACATTTTGAGAAGGAACCGCCCTCAATCCGTGAAACTCATGCAAATGTTTAACACGAATGTGCGCGGCGCTAAGGCGAGAGCCACACTTTAAAACCAACCGCCCTCAACCCGCGAAACTCTTGCAATCATTTTAAAACGAATGTGCGCAGGGCTAGGGCGAGAGCCACATTTTGAAAACCACCCGCCATCCATCTGTGAAACTGGGGTCACTCTTGAAGCTTCAGAGTCATGAGTGGTGAGGAAGTCTCAGGCAAAACGCCCGGCCCGCCCTAAACACTGGCCTCGTGTCTATACGGAGAAGGGAGGAGGAGGAGGAGGAGGAGGAGGAGGAGGAGGAGGAGCGGAAGGAGGAGGAGGATGAGGAGGAGAAGGATTAGGAAGGAACAGAGGCGGAGGAGAACAGGAGGAGAGGGGGGGAGTAGTGGAGGAGGAGGAGGAGGTAGGGAGACGGAGGAGGAAGGAGGAGGAGGAGGAAGGGGGAGGACCCGAGGGGAAAGGAGACTGAGGATAAAGGAGAGGTGAGGTAGTTGAGGAGTGGTGCTGATGAGGGGTAGGAGGAGGAGTTAGGAGTTACGGAAGGAGGAGGAGGAGGAGGAGGAGGAGGAGGAGGAGGCAGGAGGAGGCGGGAGGAGGAGGAGGAGGCAGGAGGAGGCAGGAGGAGGCAGGCCTACGGAGCCTCCGTGGGCCCAGAGGCTCCCCTCCTCGGCCCCCTCGGGCCAGTCGTGAGAGCGCGCGGGGCCTCCGCCGCCACGCCCGCCAGGGCCGCGTCGAGCTCCGCGGCCAGGCGCTCCCGGCACGCCTGGCGGCAGCGGGCCGCCGCTGGCGGGCCCCGGGCCTCCCTCCCAGAAGGGCCCGGCATCGAACCGAGATGTGGGACCGGCGATCGACACGAGTCCGATCGGCGGAGATCGGCAGCCGAGTCGGGAGAAGTCGAGTCGGCGGAAATCGGCGGGCGGGTATGCCTCCATTGAGGCATCGGGACCCCAATCGGATCCCGAAGCCGAAGCGAGTCGGAATCGGATGCCATCGACGCCGAATCGAAGCAAATCGGGGGAATCGGAGCGAGCCCTGCGCGGGGCCTCCCTGCTCGAGCGCAGGTCGAGCCTCGAGCCTCGCTCCGCGAGCCGAGTGCTGGGCTCCTGCGGTCAAGACTGACGCAGTGGAGGCCAGTCCACAAGAAACCTTGCGCAAGAAGCCCGACCCTGAGACCCCAGGCCGTCCATGGATTTATGGTGCAGGAGCGCAAGCAGGGTGGTTCTCAAATCGAAACCATCGACACCCATCGAATTTCCATCGCAAAACCATCGGAACCCAAGAAATCCAGGGCACCCTGGAGGCAAGCAGGGTGGTTCTTGGCATGGGTCGCCACTGTACAGTCGGACCCTAGGCCCGAAGAACAGGCTTGAGGAACATAAAACCCTCCGTCGGCCAAATCAAACGGAACATCCAAGGGAACCCTCCCCAGGATGCACAAGAGCATCCAGCAAACACGAAAAACACCAAGATACCGTCACCGAACCGACCTCGATCTTATAACTCGGTCCGGCTGTTGCGAGGATGCGCGATATGAACGCAAGAGCCCTTTGGGCGCCCGTGCTGAAAGTCCTCTGCGAGCGCGGCGGGCCATCGAAAGCAATTAAGGATGGACCAAAATAGGCACGGGTGCAAAGGAACCGTTGCAGAAGAAACACCATCCGCCTAAATATAACCTTTTGGCGGGCCTCGCGGATTTCTTGGATCTGCGCTGGACCCCCTCCCTGGCGCGCGGAGCGAGCCAGTGGCGGCGCCGAAGGTGTCGCCGGAAGGGGGGGGGGGCCCAGAGCGGATCCGAGAAATCGGCGCGGAGCGCCAAAAGTTTCTGTTTATGCAGTTGTTGGCTTGTTCTTCGACTTGCGGAGGCTACCCATCCTTACCATCGGTTTCGACAGTAGTTTCCATCGCGCCGAGTCGGCCTGGCTGGAGCTCAGGGGGGGCCCCTCCGCTCGGTGTGCTGCCTCGGCTCGTCGCCCTCGCCCACTGCGACTCGCGCGCCTCGGCTCCTTGCCCTCGGCTCGCGCGCGCTGCCTCGAGGCGGCGTCGTCATCCTCGTCGTGGTCGTGGTCGTGGCCGTGGTCGTGAACTTGGTCGTGGTCCTGGTCATGGTCGTCATCGTCGTCGCTGACGTCGTCGCCGTCGTTGTCGTCCTCGTCGTCCTCGTCGTCGTCGTCGTCGTCGGCGTGGCCATCGTCGCCGCCGTCGCCACCGCGGCCGCCACTGAGGTCGTCGTCGCCCCCTCGCGCCGCCAGACCCCCCAGCGCCCCGCCCGAGAAGGGCCATCGAAGGGGGGGGGGGGGGCCGTCCCCCTGCCCGTGCGCTGCCTCGGCTCGTCGTCCTCCTCGCGCTGGCCCACCCCCCCAAGAAACAAACCTGAGACCAGCGGCCTCCCAGATGGGGGGGCCTCCTCCTCCCTTCTCCTCTTCCTCCTGCTCCTCCTGCTCCTCCTCCTTCTCCTCCTCCTTCTTTTCCGCTCCTCCTCCTCCCTCCTCCTCCTATCCTCCTGCCTCTGCTCCCTTTTTTTTTCCTCCCCTTCCTCCTCCTGCCTCCTCCTCCTCCTCCTCCTGCTCCTCCTGCTCGCCTCCTTTCCTCTTTCCTCCTCCCCTCCTCCTCCTCCTCCTCCTCTCCCACACTCCTCCCACCACTCCGCCTTCCTCCTCCATCTCCTCCTCCTCTCCTTCCTCCACTCCTTCCTCCTCCTCCTGCTCCTGCTCCTCTTCCTCCTCCTCCTCCCGCTCCTCCCCTCCCGCTCATCCTACCTCCCGCTCCGCTCCTCCCGCTCCTCCTCCTCCGCTCCTCTCCTCCTCTTCCTCCTCGTCGTCCTCCTCCTCCTCGAAAAGCTCCCCTCGCCTCCTCCTCCTTCTCCTCTTCCTCCTCGTCCTCTTCTTCTTCTTCTTCCTCCTCCTCCTCCTCCTCCTCCTCTCTCCTCCGACTAGATGGGGTCGGCGGATCGCGCCGCATCGGCCATGCATCGCTGAGGCACCGTCGATGCATTGGCGACATCGGCGATCCAGCGCCGCCGTCGGCGCTCCGAAGCCGCATCGGCGAAGCAGCGGCGCTGTGGCTCGATGCTATGGCCCGAATTCTCTGTACTCGGACCCCATCGAAGATGGCCTGCAGGAAGACCGAGCCAAGACCAGGACAACATTGGACGGAGCCAGATCGGGAATCTCTGAGCTCCGGCGGTTCTGGAGGACGACCGGGGGTTGCTAGGGGTGCACCTGGCCCAAAGTGTCCCCAGCGTTTCGCCCAATCTTGGAACTTCTGTGGCCCTGTGGGACTCGAGAGGGGTGCTGTGGCGCCAGTAAGGCCTCCGTGGAAATCCTGGGGGCACCCTGGGCCAGGGACACTTCTAGCAACACCCGAGTAGAGGGGCCGGCCGCCGCGGCCGTTGCAGAACGCTCCAGCACGCTCAGTTACCCACGGGCCCAGACGCGCGAGAAACGCGAGGCGCGACGATAACCCCACGCTGGTGAGAACAATCCCCTGGGAATAAAACAGATAAAAGGACCCAGGGGGATCAGAAACGTGTACTTGGAGATATCGATTAAAAGTAAAGGGTATTCCTGGTGCTATGCGTGGGGTGGAGGTCAGACCTACGGAAGGAATTTTGCGGAGGGGACAATACAGTTCGGCCTCCCAGCTTGTTCTGGCAATTTGAACCTCGTTCAATTCGGCGTGGAAGAATCATCAGCAAAAGTTAACTCTTAAAGATATACAAAGAAAAAAGAAAGAACAAAGCCCAACAGGGTCTTTGTTCATGAAATGCTCGGCGCCCTCATGGAAGGACTGAGGTACAAACGTTGAGGAAACTTGTCCGCGGCACCCGCCGCAAAACAATTGCGACGACAGGTACGACTACGATTACTACTACTACTACTACTACTACTACTACTACTACAACTACTACTACTACTATTACTACTACTACTACGCCTACTACTACTACTACTACTACTACTACTACTACTACTACTAGTAGTACTACTACTACTACGACGACGACTACTACTACTACTACTGCTACTACTACTACTACTACTAGCTACTACTACTTCTACTACTACTACGACTACCATTACTACTACTTCTGCTAATATTATTTCTACTGCTACTACTACTACTACTACTACTACTACTGCATCTACCATTATTACTACAACGCTTACTACTACTACTACTACTACTACTACTACTACTACTACTACTACTACTACTACTACTACTAATACGACTACTACGACAGCGACGACAACGACTACTACTACTACTGCTACTACTACTACTACTACTGCTACTACGCTGAAACTACTACGGGTAGTAAGACTACTACTACTACTCCGACTACTACTACCACCACCACTACTACTACTACTACTACTACTACTACTGCTACTACTACTACTTCTACTACTACTACTACTACTACGATGACTACTACTACTACTACTACTACTACTACTACTACTACTACTACTACTGCTGCGACTACTACTACTACTACTACTACTATTACGACGACGACTACTACTACTACTACTACTACGGCTACCACCACTACTACTACTACTACTACTACTACTACTACTACTACTACGACTACTACTTCTACTACTGCTTCTACTACTGCGACTGCTATCTCATACTACTACTGCTACTACAATTTGTCATACGACTACTACTGCTACTACGATCATTACTACAACAACTACTACTACTACTACAACTGCGACTACTACTACTACTACGTCTACTACTATTACAACTACTACTACGACTGCTACTACCACTACTACAACTACTACTACTAATACTACGACTACTACGACTACTACGACGACTACTACTACTACTACTACTACTACTACGACTACTGCTAGTATCACTAGTAGTAGTACTACCACTACTACTACTACTGCTACTACCACCACCACTACTACTACTACTACTACTGCTGCTACTACTACTACTACTACTACTACGGCTACGACTACGACAACAACTACTACTAGACTTCTTCTCATACTACTACTACTACTACTACTACTACTACTACTACTACTACTACTACTACTATGTAAACTACCACCACCACTACTACTACTACTACTACTACTGCTACTACTACTACTACTACTACTACTACTACTACTACCTCCAACGACGACGACGACTACTACTACTACTACTACTACTACTTTTACTACTACGATTACGACGACTACTACTACTACTACTACTGCTACGACTACTACTACTACTACTACTACTACTACTACTACTACTACCACTGATATGTCTACGACTACTGCTACCACTACTATTTACTACTACTACTACTACTACCACCACTACTACGACTGCATTTATGACTCTCACTACTACTACTACTCCGACTACTACTACCACTACTACTGCTACTGCTGCTACTGCTGCTACTACTGCTACTACTACTACTACTACTACTACTACCACTACGACTCGTACTCCTACTACTGCTACTACTACCACCACAACTACTACTACTACTACTACTACTACTACTACTACTACTACTACTACTACGACTACGACTACTACTACTACTACTTCTACTACTACTACTACTACGACGGCGACTACGACTACGACTACTACTGCTACTACCACTATTACTACTACTACTACTACTACTACTACTACCACTATTACTACTACGACTACTACGACGACCTACCGACCGACCGACCGACCGACCGACCGACCGTTCTATCCACCGACGCACCT